GAGTTGGCAGCCAGTCGATCTGGCCTGCCATTTGCTGGATCACTCGTGTGGCTCGGGACCTGGCCGCAACACCACCCACTGAGGAAGGTGAGTGGGCTTCTTGAAGCAATGGTCTGCCTGTCCACTGCTTGCACTGCAGTACAAGATACTACCACTGTACATAATCAATGAAGGGAGGAAAACACAACTAATTGGCAGCCATGGGGTTTGGTCATCCCCTATGTAATATGACCTCAGATGTGTCCAAGATGTTCATCCCCATCCTAAGAGGTCCTTCTTAGAGGTTATTTGAACCTTAATGGGATCCAGCAAGATAGGCTGGGACAGGCATAGGCAAACTCGGCCCACCAGATGTTTTGGAACTACAACTCCCATCATCCCTAGCTAACAGGACCAGTAGTCAGGGAAGATGGGAGTTGTAGTCCCAAAACATCTGGAGGGCTGAGTTTGCCTATGCCTGGGCTAGGAATTTGGAGGGCAAAGCAGGCTGCTTCAGAGAAGATCAGCACCATAAGATTATTGTCAATGAAGCTGCAAATATCCCTAATTTTATATTCATCAGGTGTTTTTCCTAGATCCAAATTTCCCCCAGTATCTTTACCCAGAGATATCAGGAGGAACCTGCTAATGATGAAAAAGGATGGACTGAAGAGCATCCAAGATTTGTGAATACATCCGAGACAGGATAAAATTGTCAACCGTTTTCAGACATAGCAAGTGGATGTGATTTGCCGCGCGGCCAGAGCTGAGAACTCCCAAGAGGAAATGATCTGGAATCAGTGAAGAACTTGTTTTCTTTTATGACAGCCTCAGCCATTTCTATATCCTTGTTGGAAATAACCCATTTGTTTTAAGTGCACCAGGCCCTAGCTAAAAGTAGTAGATTTACTCCCTTGATACAGTGCTCCTTCTTTCTTTTTCTCAAGCGAAACTGCCAGGAAGGTAAATACTGTCAGATCAGACAGGGGTTCCAAACTGCCACAATGACAGCTTCATCTCAGTGTGTCAACACACCAAGTATTTTCTCCGAGCTACCTCTGAGGGTCAGATTCAATGCTTCTCCCACTCCACACTACAGCTCCCCCACCCTCAGTAGCCAGAAACTATTTTGTCGCCCTAAGCGACAGCTTTAGGTTTGCTAAATTAACACGAGCGCAAACACCTATATTTAACTTCTCTCTCTCTCTCTCACACACACACACACAAAGAATTGCTACTCAGAGAAAAAGGGGGAGCAAAAGAAAGAAGGGGAAACAGAATGGAATTAGGACATTAAGCATAGAGGAAAGAGTTGGTTAGGGTCAACTGTGACATTTACAAAGGGGAGCTTTGTAGTATGTAGATGTGCTGGGGGTAGCAGAGCTCACTTGGGTTGCTGGGGCAGTTCGGGGTCGGGAGTTCAAGGATGGCTCACTCAGTGCTGCTACCTTGAATCGGCAACCCCACCTTATGACTTGACCTTTAAAGCCCTAAATGGCCTCAGCCCTCTATATCTGAAGGAGCGTTTCCCTCCAATCGTTCAGCCCGGACACTGAGGGCCAGCTCTGAGGGCCTTCTGGCGGTTCCCTCACTGTGAGGTTACAAGAAACCAGGCAAAACCAGGCAGAAGGGCCTTCTTGGTAGTGGCACCCTCCCTGTGGAACACCCTCCCATCAGATGTCAAGGATCCTCTATTCCTTGATCCTCTATTCCCTTTTCCCCTTTCCTCTTCTATGAAGAAACCCTTTCTGGGACCCCACATTTAAATTCTTCCCTGGTCTCTTTGAGTGGCCCTAGTAGGACCAACTTGGCCAGTCAGCCCTGGTGATCATTTGATGTCTACTGACTGGGGTTTGTTTGTTTCCCCCCCAAAATGACCCCTGAATTTTTGAATTTTATTGATATTAATGCTACATTTTATGTTGTATTTTATGCTGTTTTAAAGTCGTATTTTAATCAGTGTTTTATATTTGCTGTTAGCCACCCTGAGCCTGGTTTTTAAACCGGGAAGGGGGGGTATAAATAAAAAATTATTATTATTATTATTATTCCCATGTCTTGGCCAGAGAACACATGTACACCACACATTGAAAGAAGGATGATACCCCTTTAACAGTCATAGCTTCCCCCAAATAAACATGGGAAATGTAGTTTGTTAAGGGTGCTGAGAGTCGTTAGGGAGATCTCTGTTTCCCTCACACAGCTACAATTCCCAGAATTCCCTGAGAAGCGAGAGTGATTGTTAAATCAATTCATTGTTAGTCTGAGAGGTGCAGAATAGATCAGTTTGTTTAAAAAACATGGCCCAAACAAACTTTTCTTCCTATTCTCAAACCACATAAGTTTACTTTTAGGAGTGCCTCTTCCTGCAGGAACCATGAGTGTTGTTGTTTTTTAAAGAAAATACAAAGACATTAAAATATTTAAAATATGCTATTTTTTATGATTTCATTGAATTCTCTCTCTCTCTCTCTCTCTCTCACACACACACACACACACACAAAAGGCAAGACTTTAAAAACACACACACACACAAACACACCCTGCCAAAATGGAGCTCCTGGTTACACTGAAAGGAAAAAGGAGGAACATATTTTAAATATTTACTGCTTTTCTTTAAGTGAAGCCAAAGCCGTTCAAGACATTAAAACATTTATATAACATCAGTTTAAGCGATGATAGAAGCCGACGGTGACTAAAACAACCAAATGCTTTCCTAAAGAAAATAGGTTTTTAACCGTCTCTGAAAGGTCCCCAGAGGCCTGAGCACCTGAGCTTCTGGGGACCAGGAATTCCACAGGGCCTGCCTCATGATAAAGAAAGAGAAATTAGAAAAGAAGAGAATAGGAAAGGAAAGGAAAGGAAAGGAAAGCTATGTTTTAATCCAACAGAAACTCCTGTGACAACTTTGACATCTGCTGAAGCAGGCTAAGGTTCTTGTAAGTCTCCCATTTGAAATATTTACCTCAGTCACTCAAGGAATCTGCTTCTCGCATGACTTTTCCTGGCGTGCATTCCTTGAAAAGTGACCAGGCGATGCGCTGCTTTCCCGTTTGTGAATTGCCAAGTGTGTGCCAGATACAAAAAACGGCACCTCTCACAAAAACCCTGCCCATTCTTACTGTCGCGGCATTATATCATGCCCAGAGATGTCTAAGACAAACAGTGAAGTCGCTCGCTCTGGAACTTTCCAGATGGAGAGTACTCATGCCAAGGCCTGAAATGATCAACCAAGGGATTGAGTGGTGGCCCATATTGGAAGTAACCCACCATGAATCCTGAGGCGTCTCGGGCCTGGAGTAGCAGGCTGAGGCGGACAAGGAGCAGGGAGATGAGATAGAGGAATAGAGGCTGTAGGGAGCAGATAATTCCCATCTCAGCTGCTGAGGATGGCGAAGCAGGACTTCCGCCTCCTCTCTTCCCTCCTAGAGAGAGGGGCAGCTGTGAGGGATGGAGGAATCAGAGTCATAAAGGGAGAGCACAGCCCGGTTGTCCAGGACCCAGTGGCACTCCTGTCACTTGGAAACAGACCCATCCCCACAACGCAGTACACACAACTGATATAGTTAAACCACGGAACTCACTTCCACAGGAGGCAGGGTTGGCCACCAACTTGGAAAGGCTTTAGGATTAGAGAAATTCCTGGTGGAAAAGGCTGCCAATGGCTCCTAGCTACAACGGCTATTTTCTAGCTCCGCTGCAAGAAGCGTCATGCCTCTAAATATCAACGGGACACTGTGATGGAAGCCAGAGCGCATGGAAATGCTGTTTACCTTCCTGCCACAGCGGTACCTATTTGTCTACTCACACTGGCATGCTTTCAAACTGCTAGGTTGGCAGGAGCTAGAATAGAACAATGGGAGCTCACCCCAAAGCAGGTCACCTTTGAACTATGAAATCCCATCTCCACAGGAGGTAGCAACAGTCACCAACGCAGATGGCTTTCATATCCTTCACAATTTCTCTGATGAATATAGGGATATCCTTTTCAATAATAATAATAATAATAATAATAATAATAATAATAATAATGTATTATTATTTATGGGAATCACAGGGTGCTGTTGTGCCCAAGGAACATAGGAAGCTGCCTTATACTGAGTGAAACCCATTGGTCCATCCAATGTATTGTCTACATTGACTGGTGGTAAGTCTTCAGGTTTTCAGACAGGGAGCCTCTCTTGATTGTACCTGAAGATGTTGTGGATTGAACCTGGGTGGAAGGGTTGTGCTATATATTTCCTGCCTGTCGTACACTAAGAGCTGCTAAAGAATACCTCCCCAGCTGTTGCTTAAATGGGTCCCCCAACTTTGCGAGTGGGTCATTTTTGGTTTTCAAGCACCTCATGGCTCACAGTTGCCTCCCTTCCCTGTCATCAGTGCAAAATAAATGGCCACCCAATTTCTTCCTTCAGCCTGCACTATGCAACCGCAGGTTTACCCTAAAAAAATTCCTTCAGATTCCTAGCTGGGCTTTGGATTGGCAGGGAGGGCTGGAAGGCAAAACTGGAATCTGCCAGCCGTCTGTTCTGTGGGACAGCTGACGTGCTGCTGGGCCCTAAAGGTGTAATTTCCACTCACAGTTTCAGATTGAGCCCTAAATGTCAGCTCGCTGGGATCCCTGCGCTGCTCTTGCTAATGTTGGCATCTGCAAACATGGAGCCTTAAGACATGCCTGTTGTTCCTTTTCTTTATTTTGAAAATCCTCCTCTACGGGGTGAGGGAGAAAGTGCTGTCAATCAATTGGATTGTCCCCTAAAGGAAACACTGCACAAAGCCTGATGCTCTCTCCATGGCCATCATTTGCTACAAGCTCTGGGCTCTTTTCAAAAAGCTCTGGCTCAAACCCCTGCCTTTTGGGCTTTGCCTTTTCATTCAGTCCATAGCCTCCAACAGTCATTCCTTGTTAACTCACCAATCCACCCCAGGAGTGTGCAAGCTTGGAGGAACAAAGGGAGAAAAAGAATCTTAATACTTACACCTGTACCAATAGGGGAGGTTTTGTGGTTTTTTTTTTTTTTGTAAAGGTACAGTGAGATGGAGAGGGATACCTCTATTCATTTTTGGTCGAGAGCATGCACAAATCCACCGAGTTTAGTCAATAATAAAAGAAGCTCAAGCTTTCAAAAGTATTTGAGGGATGAAGGATCAAAAGCCATTTGGGTCTGTTTGTTTGAGATCCAAGGGGACACGCTGTTATTCCATCGCTCTGCGTACAGACTCCTAGTTTGATGGACAAAATGTCTAGAACAATTCGACCACAAAGTGATATATATCCCTAAAGAACAAAACACATGCAAGCAACCTACAGTATGCTCACAGTAGCGACTTGCGATATTTCAGAGTGTTTTCCTATGATAAGTCCTAAGCCATTTTAGATGTAGCCCTGCAAATGTGTTGTGGAGCTTGGATGTCAGAATTCTCATATGCAAGTACAAACTGAGTATGAAAAATCTATTCTGCTGTGCGTGCTTTTCTTGTCACAGTAAAGGCCCGTTAGTGGTTCTTTCCTATAACATTTAATATGTGTGTGTGTGTGTGTGTGTGTGTGTGTGTGTGGTGCATAGGGGCAAAAGTACTATAAGAAAAAGAGTTGTTATCTGGCAGTTTCTTAGATGTAAGTGGGACTACTCTGGAAAGAAAAAGGGGCTTAGAGCATCAGCTTCTAATTTTTCTTTAAATAAAAATATTGTGGCAGCAAGGTGATATGAATGTTAGCTCTATACCACAAGCTCTCTGTCCTCCTTCTCCCAAAACTGCAAAATGGCTTGATCATATCTGAGCTCAATTCCAATTCCAGACCAAGTCATGCATGCTTCTTAAATGGTGGTGTCCAGACCTGAACACAGTCCTCCAGGTGAATCTGACCAAAGCCAAGTAGAGTGAGACTGTTACTTCTGGCAAAAATACCCGAAAGCAGCTTGTTTGGCCCAATCAAAAGAACGCAAGCAAGGAGTTAATTTGCAGGCCCTTCCTGCTTCCAAGCATCCAATCCTAAAAATGCCTCTTCACCACAATCAATTGGGTTTTCAGTGCCTCTACGTTCTGCAGGAAAAACGGTAGGGATATGCCACTCCGAACTGATGCTACATGTTGGAAGTACAGCTGACACAACAGTAATTCAAGCCACACTGATGGGTACAAATTCTCTTGTTTTGGGGCTTTAACTGCAAAACACCTGTTATTAGCACAGGTTTTCGTGGCTCAAGTCGCTGCCATCAGAAAAGCATGGCTTTGCTTTATCTCCTTCATCCCATCCACAATCTGCGCTGACAGCTTTATCATCACGAGGAGCATTATGTCAGCCTGTCCGATGCTTCTTGAAGCTGTCAACAACACTTAGAGTCAAGCCCTCCAAACTTTTAAAAACTTAATCATTTTTATTCTGGGCGCATAAAAGCTGAATGCGAGAGACCCACGCACAGGCTTTGCATCGGGCATTTTATTGACTCGGCTGGCCAAAGGCATAATCAGGCTGCTGAAACATTTACGGAGTACAAAGCACTTTTCTGCACAGAAAGCTTGCTCTTAAAGCCAGGAGTACACCTGAGGTGGCAAAACGTTAGGGCTTTTTGTGCAGGCAGAGCAGGGGGTGGGGGTGGAGAGAATTACATGCAATGACCCACAATGGGCTGCAAAGATAGGTGCCATTCAATATGCAAGAGCATCATCTGTGGGCAACTTTACACTGCGAGATGACAAACATCAAGAGTGGCTGGTGCAGCAGTTCCTTGCTCATGCTGCCAGCCTGACTGTCAGCTGCAGAGCAGAGTGAAACAGACCAGGACAGGGTGGCCCTGCTGGAGTAGGAGAGAGGCTTGGCCAGCTAGAGGATAAAGGTGTGCAGAGAGGCACGTTTAGTGGAAGTTCCAAGCAGGGTGTCAGGTCTTGAGTCAGGCCAGTGAAACAAACAAAAGCTCAAGACTAGGTGGTCGCAGCAACCCTTCCTAGGAGGCCTTGCCCTGATGCCACAGTTGTGAGGACTGAAGGTTCCTCCTTTCCCACCCCTCTCTAAGGCTCCTCCTCTCCTGGGTTTTCCCCAAGCAGAATCAATCTGTTTCTGCACACCACAAATCTCTGTTCTGCTCTTTTAATTTCTCTGTGCATTCTTGGAGACTGGGGTGGCGGCGGCGGTGCAGAGCTGGTTACAGCAGGAGGGGGAGACTCACTAGATTCATCAGCAGCCTCTTGACTCCTCTAGCCTCTGCTTCAGCCTCAGAGTCTGAACTGCACTCTGCCACAGACTCCTCCTGCTCACTACACCCTGTTGACCCTTCAGTTTCTGACACTTGCTTCTACCAGGCTTCTCCCTCTGACCACCCATCGTCATCCCACCACCAACCCCCTGGCTCTGAGCCTTCTTCCCCTGGGGGGTCCCTAGGGCGTTCCCCGGCTCCACTCCAGTGCCTCCAGCCTGTCCAAGACACAGGAAGGGAGCAAAACTCACCAGGTCCACCCATTCCTCCAAGCTCCTCCATTCCTCATCCTTCTCAGTAATTGTCCCACTGTGAATTGGGAAACTATAACACAAAGACTTGACTCACACGCAGGTGGATTGGGAAGCAGGTGGCGCTGTGGTCTAAACCACTGAGTCTCTTGGGCTTGCCGATCAGAAGGTCAGCAGATCGAAGCCCCAGAATGGGGTGAGCTCCCGTTGCTCAGTCCCAGCTCCTGCCAACCTAGCAGTTCAAAAGCACATCAAAGTGCAAGTAGATAAATAGGTATCGCTCCGGCGGGAAGGTAAAAGGGGTTTCCGTGCACTGCTCTGGTTTCACCAGAAGTGGCTTAGTTCTGCTGGCCACATGACCTGGAAAAACTGTCTTCAGACAAACGCTGGCTCCCTCGGCCAATAAAGCGAGATGAGCGCCGCAACCCCAGAGTCGTTTGCGACTGGACTTAACTGTCAGGGGTCCTTTACCTTTTTAAGCTTTGAGAAGCTCAACGTGGGAATTTGGCTTCCAGCGATAGAAAGCAGCACAGAGAAGCTACAGGGGCTGAAGCATCAACCCAAAGCATGCTCATCTCACATGAGGCTCCCATGCACATGGATGCATTTAGAAATGCACATGAGGATGCAAAGATCAAAGACAAATTGGGAAACATGCCTCAAAAAGCAGTGGAGAACAATGGACAGAAATGGAGGAGACATGAAGGGGAACAAATAAATAAACTGTGCTTTGTAGGTTTAACTAGATTCTTCCGTTTGCCAATCCGCTGACATGTGTTTCGGTCTAGTGGGGGATTAGAACACACAGCTGGTGCGTATTTGGCACACAGGTGTCTCCCTCTCTGCCTTTGCTAGCTAGCTCACAACAGATGGCTTCGTGCATACGTGTATGTGTGCAAGTGAGTACGTAAAGGGGGAAATCCTTCTGAGTGGTGTTAAAGGGGGAGCTCAATATATTAACTACACTCTTCTTCACACACACACACCCCGGCGCAGTTAGCATAAAATTAAAACGACGCTAGGTATCTGCCTCATCGGGTTGTCATCAGCTGTTTGAAAACACAGCAAATCCAGAATGAAACATCAAAAGGACCCACATGGTAACTCTGCCAACCAGAGCATGATAACACATCAGTAATCCACACACAAGAGTTCTGATGTGATGATTTAGAACACCCTATCGTGTTAATCTGCCAGGCTGCTGAGGAGGATCTGTGCCATGTTGAGGCGACACAGAAGTCCGGGAGAATCATGAGTTAAAGAGACTGGTAAAATCTCTCGGGCTGGCTATAGGAAGGCAACCTGATCCAGATCTGGAGTTACTGAAATAAAGGATCCTCGAGGTCAGTTGCTGGAGTTGGAGTTGTTTGAACTGTAGCTAGAGACTGAAGTGCTTCAGAAACAGGGCCGGCCCTAGCATGTGGCAGAGTGGAGCAGCTGCCTCAGAGGATAAATGCCAAGGGTCAGTGAGTGGAGAGAACTCTACATATGCTTTGTAGTCTGCCTTGCACCCACTAAACTAGGCCATTGCCCCTCAGGGTGCAATGGAGGATGCTGAAATAAGATTCAATGGTCTGTTGAGCTTCCGTGCATTAAATGGGCCTGAGAGGAGGCAGTACTGATAAAGTACTCCTTCCTTGACCAGGCAACAGCAAGTTCCTTTTATCTATACCCATCCAGACACTACACACCAAATGCAAGCCACAAGGATGAATATCATATAATCCTGTTTGGGGAAGGAACATAGCTCACTGATAGGGCACCTCCTTTGCATGAATCTCCTAGGTATCATTCTAATTTAATTAAATTTATTAGCCAGTTTTTCTTACTAATTCAGATACCTTCTTCAGATCTGAAGCTCATAGCAATAACAAACTTAGTTGGTCTCCAAACTTAGTTGGTGCTACTGGAAGGATTTTTTTGTTTTTGTTTCAATATTATTATTATTATTATCAACTAAGTGAGGCATGATTAAGTCCTTTTGAGGACTTCTCTCTTATTCATCTTTTTTCTCTAAATTAAAACGGCCCATATTTTGCAACCTTTCCTCAGAGGGTAGTTGCTGTATCCTCTTGATCATTTTGGCTGCCCTTTGCTGAGACTTCTTCAGTTTTATAATATCCCTTTTGAGGTTATGTGACCAAAACTGCGCACATAGATTTGTATAATGGAATTGTGCTGCTGGGAGTTTAATTTTCCATTGCTTCCCGAATGATCCCTAGCACAGGATTCTCCTACTTCACATGGTCATACACTGGGTCCACATCTCCATCGAGATCATCTCCCCTATGATCTGACGTTCTTACTCCTAAGTAGACATGGTTTGGATTGCATTGCAACTTATTTTTTAAAGCACACACACACACACTAATTTGTTAGTAATGTTCTGAAGATTTCAAAGCACCCAACAAAGAGCAAAGAGTGTATGTAATTATTTAAGAAAATGATGATTTAAGAAAATGATGAACACTGGAACCAAAATTCTGAAATTCAATATACAGTGGTACCTCGGGTTAAGAACTTAATTCGTTCTGGAGGTCTGTTCTTAACCTGAAACTGTTCTTAACCTGAAGCACCACTTTAGCTAATGGGGCCTCCTGCTGCTGCTGCGCCGCCGCTGCACAATTTCTGTTGTCATCCTGAAACAAAGTTCTTAACCCGTGGTAATATTTCTGGGTTAGTGGAGTCTGTAACCTGAAGCGTATGTAACCCGAGGTACCACTGTATAAATAATAATAGAGAAGTTACCTGTATGTTAAGTTAAATTTACAATCACCTATTGTTTTAGCACATGAATTGACATATACCGTACTTCTTTTTAAAATGGGGGGGGGCAGTATGGAGTTGGGGCTGCACATCTTGCTTCATCACTGTTCCCATGTTACAACACAAGGATGCATTTGTAGGATTGTCAATTGCTTCCATGAGCTGAGACCTTCTTGGTGTTCTTGAGAGACCACAAGGTCCCCCTGTGACAGTTCTCTAGAACGTTTGAAAAATTGTTTGGCAGCATCCCCAGAAAAAAACTGCAGGGTGTAGAAATGTCCTTATCTTCATATTTAATGGAAGACTTGCCCATGCCTTTTTGCCAACCATCCTGAACTTCTCAGTTAAGTTGCACACTCCCAAATGTGCGTGCTTTACAAATGCTAACAATGTTTGCTCTTTGTTATTTTCCACTCCATGCTCTGCCATGAAGACAGTGCTTACAAATATGGGGAAATTGGGGGGGGGGGAGAGAGAGTAATACATAATCCACCGTCTTGATGCGACGGAAAGCAAAAAAGTTGCATAGACCTTTAACCCAATACTTCTGGTTTGATCAGCGCACTCCTTGCTGGGGAAGCTCAGATAAGCGAACCACAGCAACTGCTATATTTTTTGTGACTTTACGTCACCGTTCATAGCGGTATCAGATGGGAAGCTGTTATCCAGGATGGCATAACACCTGGAGAAACCATTATGCTTATCAGGAAAAGTGGGCTTAGTCAATTCCTTTGGTGAACTCGCAAGCCCTTCTGAGCCTTTTAGCTAGGCCTGGTCAGCTTCCATTACGACCTCAAGCCTTTTTCTCCGGGAGTAAATAAGGAGGGCATTAACAGACGCCGCATTCTGGCCGATGCAGCCTTTGGAAAAATTTTCTCAATTAAAATAAAGAGAAACTATGGTAATTGGAGGCTGGAAAGGGGGTTGAAAACAACTCGTGTCCACATGCTCTCAACAAACGTCCTCACCTTTATGTGTGAAACCTGCCCAAATGCAGGAAAGGGGCCTTCGCTGCTTATAGGACACAGGGGTGGGGAGTTGCATCCACTGTTACTGAGTGGTGGGTACCGCTACTACCTGCCCAAGCCTCATCTCTGAACGCTCATGTCAGAAGTTTTAAATGACTCTTTAAATTCACTATCTTGGAGGCCTTGCTGCTTAATAAAGACTATGGGGTGTTGAGAAGCACAGTATATTATTTCATTAAGTGCTTTTCGGGAGAAGGGGATTTAGAAGTAAAACTGCTGGCTTTGTGTGGCAAGGTCACAACCTTTGACAACTTCGGAGCTTATCTCTTTCATCTTTCCACTCCCCTGAGACCCCAAACTTGCAGAGGAATCGAAGCCAGTAAGCTGGGGCGAGACAGAATTCAGCATTGTTACGGGTTAGGTTCCCCTTCTCTCTCTCTCTCTCTCTCTCTCTCTCTCTCCCTCCCCTAAACAAAACAGATCTGAACGGAGCCAAGGAAACAAAAATGTATTGTTCCTTGCAGATGGAAGCGAGAGTCGCCTAGGTAACCAGATTAATCTCCTTTTTCTCTCCCTTCCTCTCTTGTAGTGCGGTAATCGGTGGGTTCTCTGTTCACAAAAAGCCAGCCTCAAAGCTGGGGCTCTAACTAGGTTCCTAATTAGCTGCAATTTACAATGAAGACAACATGATGAGATAATAGAAATTTGCAAAATAATGACATACCTCAGCAAAATATTCCTCCTCCTAAGAACCATTTTTATACAAAAACAATAAAGAGAGCCCTTCTACAGCAAAGCTGGAAAATGGTGGTGTATTATGTGACACAGAACATTATTGTTCGCCTCTTGTTCTCCCAATCAACAGCTTATTGTTTGGCATCTTAAATAAAAATGACTCAAATACAGGCCACATAATGATCTCCATTGCGCTAATACACTGTATATACAGAGTAGTAAAAAATAAAGGGGGAAAAATGTATTCGAGCCAAAGTGGAGCTTATACAGAAGCAGACCCCAGAAAGGTTACTTACAATGCAATGCAATGAAAGTGGGGGTTGCTGGGAAGTATTATTACTGGGTCTTAATCACACGTATCTTTGTGATTCCTGTCAGTATGCTGCATGGGCATCAAAAAAAAAAAAGGGCAGCTGTACAGGACAGCAGTTAGTTAATGAAATATGATGGATTGCATTTCTTGTCCTCTGTTGGTTAGCTCCAACGAAGCAACCTTCCAGATTGTTAGCCAACAGAATTCTCTGGTGCGACATCAAAGGGTGCCATTCAAGTAAGGAGGAGGGAGGAGGAGGAGGTGGTAAGGTGAAATGGGGAGGGGGTGGAATCATTGGGAGATAATGCAACGTGGAGGAGCTATGGAGAAAGAGAGAGAGGGAGAGACAGAGAGAGAGAGAGGAGGCTTGGTAAAGATATCCATGCATGTATATCACTTGCTCCTTCTACACTTGATGAAGACCAGGCTATAAGGGAACTCTGCATGGGGCTACCTTTGAAGGTGACCCAGAAACTACAACTACAGTGGTACCTCGGGTTAAGAACTTAATTTATTCCGGAGGTTCATTCTTAACCTGAAACTGTTCTTCACCTGAGGTACCACTTTAGCTAATGGGGCCTCCTGCTGCCACCATGCCGCCGCCGTATGATTTCTGTTCTTATCCTAAAGCAAAGTTCTTAACCTATTTCTGAGTTAGCGGAGCCTGTAACCTGAAGCGTCTGTAACTTGAAGCGTCTGTAACCCAAGGTACCACTGTAATCCAGAATGTGGCAGCTAGACTGGTGACTGGGAGTGGCTGCCAAGACCACATAACACCGGTCCTGGAAGAGCTACATTGGCTCCCAGTACGTTTCCAGGCACAATTCAAAGTGTTGGTGCTGACCTTTAAAGCCCTAAACGGCCTCTGTCCAGTATACCTGAAGGAGCGTTTCCACCCCCATCCTTCTGCCTGGACACTGAGGTCCAGCGCCGAGGGCCTTCTGGCGGTTCCCTCACTATGAGAAGCTAAGCTACAGGGAACTAGGCAGAGGGCCTTCTCAGTAGTGGCACCTGTCCTGTGGAACGCCCTCCCACCAGATGTCAAAGAAATAAACAACTATCTGACTTTTAGAAGACATCTGAAGGCAGCCCTGTTTAGGGAAGCTTTTAATATCTGATGAATTACTGTATTTTAATATTTTGCTGGAAGCCGCCCATAGTGGCTGGGGAAACCCATCCGGATGGGTGGGGTATAAATTTGTATTATTATTATTATTATTATTATTATTATTACAGTTGTACCCCAGGTTAAGAACTTAATTCGTTCTGGAGGGCTGTTCTTAACCTGAAACTGTTCTTAACTGAAGCACCACTTTAGCTAATGGGGCCTCCTGCTGCCGCTGCACTGCCGGAGCATGATTTCTGTTCTCATCCTGAAGCAAAGTTCTTAACCTGAGGTACTATTTCTGGGTTAGCGGAGTCTGTAACCAGAAGCGTATGTAACCTGAAGTGTATGTAACCTGAGGTACCACTGTATTATCACTCTGCTTGCAATAATGTATGTTGTGATGGCCTGCTGCAGGTGTGTGGAACCTCTGGCCCTGCAGATGTTGCTAAATGACAGCTCTCATCATCTTTGGCCATTGGCCATGCTTTCTGGGGCTGATGGAGATCGTTCAGCATCGTCTGGAAGGTCAAAGGTTCTACACACCTGATCCACACATACCTGAAACTCAACACTCAACCCTGCAGGAAAGAATATGCATGTGGGAACTGGACCAAGATACCTAAATTAGTATCCCGAAAAGCTAAAATCAGTAGCCACATGAATGTATCTTTTGCCACCAAGGCCTCTATCCTACCTCTGCATCTAAGAGTTCTACCTGGGCTGATGGGTAGCAGGAAGGAAGCCCTCAACATAAGAACTGCTTGCACTGGGAGGACTGTTGCTTAGCTACATTTAACAATGCCTTATTGACTGGACTGGGAGAAAAATGCATTAAATGGCTGGCAGAGTATTATTATTTTTTAAGCTTTTATTTCATGGGTTGGGGTGGGTGTTGCAAATTGGTGGTTTTAGGTTTTTGTCGGGGGGTGTTTATTGGAATGTATAGTTAATTGTTAATTGGCAGCTCATTGTTATTTATATTTATATTTTGATGTTTGATTGAATTGAACATTGGAGCATTGGGGAAATGTGCAAGCTGTTTGATAACTAAGTTCAAACCTGTACATTAGTCCAGGAGCTGTAGATCAGGCCAGCTCATACTGGAATACATATAGATCACTGGAGACAGAAATTGCCCCATCACCTTAAGCTTGTTTTCAGCTAGCCCACATCTGCCTGCCTTCTTACATACAAATAGTTCAGTTCCTATCAGCTTCCTTCTCCTTAGTGTTAGTGTTAATGTTGTCTCTGTACAATTTAGCAAGGAGGAGAATGGGAACAAAACTGGAATCAGTTGGCCCCATTTCTCACTGGCTTTGACTCTGGCTGACATTGGCTCTAGCGCCATCTACTGTTCGTCTCCCTGCTTTCCACCCTACCAGTGACCAAGATCAAATTCCTCATGTACCCATAACTCCCACTTCCTAACTTCAGAACTGAACTCATTCCACAAAGGCCAAGTGTCAAGAGGAGCTTTATAAGTTTCATTTCTTGCATTGCCTATTCTGAGGTATGATCGCTTTCTTAGATAACTCTCTATGAAATGAACTAATGCCATGCCAATAATGCTTGTCCCTTTTTTTTGCTGAGTCACAGAACCATAGAAGAATTGGAAGGGGTCACGAGGATCATCTAGTCCAACCCCTGCAATGCAGGGATCTTTTGCCCAACATGGGGCTCAAACCCACAACCCTGAGATTAAGGGACGCGTGCCCTACCAACTGAGCTAAGTCTGGAGGTACACAAAGAGGCATGTGGCAAGTGCCCAATACATCGCTGCACTTCAAAGCCCACTTGGAGCACATGAGAGTGGTACAATTATAATTATTTTTATTTAAAAACCTAAAAGAGAAGTCCTTTCAACTTTTTTTTTTCCAGTTGCTCCACTTTCATGTACCCCAAATGCAACCTCCACAGCAGCCTATGCTGGAAAGGCCATGAGAGACAGTGTCAGGACTAGGAATGAACAATTTTGCCCATTTTGGTTTTTCTCGGTTTCTCATTTTTCCAATCAAAAGTTCATTTTTCCACATTTATACATCAATAAGTATGTTGTTATTGTTGTTTTTTGAAAAAACCCTCTTGAAAATTTGTCACCATTTTAGTGCAAATTTCTCTGAATAGGCACATTTTTGCAAAACAATTTCCCCTATTATAATTTATCCATGTGTTGCATATATATAACCAGGACTTTGGCTGATTGACATCCAATACCCTTTTAAATGTATTGTGGAAGAGGGGGTTATCAGGTTGTCTTTGTTTATATCTTTTTGTTACGTATTTTGTGTTTTTTATATTGACATTTTATATTGTGAACCACCCTGAGAACTATGGATATAGGGTACAATACGAATTTTATTGACTGACTGATTGTAATATCATCCCACCCTTCCTTCTAAAGAAATCCATATAATACTTTTTCGGTATGTTATTTTTATTAATGTGTGCATCTTTATCCATGCTTTATCACAGTATATGTGTTTTGGGACCCATTACTTGAGTGGAGCACAGCATTGCAAAATTCAGAGAAGGGTGAATTTTGGAGGGTAGTTTTGCATCAGTTCGCACATTCTTTCCGAAAGCGTGAATTTGGTAGGGTCACCTTTGAACACAAACTGGATAAAATCTGACCTCCATCCTCAGTAACAATCATCCCATACACAGACAGGAGGTGTGGGCAGCTGGGGAGGCTGCAGAATACTGGAAGGGGAACACAGATTGTCAAAAAGGTAGACACAACCGCTCCTTGGATGCCACATATCGATCCAGTAAAAACCAAAGCACTCACACCCTTGAGAATTTCACCTAAATTCTCACATGCACTTCAGAAGAAGCAGGAAAAAATAAAAACAAAGCCCTTTTTTTTTGCAAGGGGGCAAAGATTTATTCCAAATTGATGGGCAGGGTTTTGAGCACCTGCCAAACGAACACAGTACGTTTAGGGGGGGAATTACTATTCCATTCAGATAATAGGTCTAAGTCTCTAGTTATGCATCTCTGCAATCAACTTTGGCATGTGTCCCTCTCCCACTTTTTAAAAACACAATAATATTAACTATCTCTTACAAAAATCATTCCACCTCCTCTGGATCTTTGTTCCCGAAAGACATTATTCAGTACTTTGCCACAACAGAGCACTACGCTTGTAGCCTTTGTATAAGAATAACTCCATCTAGGTTGCAATCAATGGGGGCGATGCCTACACATGAAAAGCCTTTTTCGCCACATTGCAGAACCTAAAATTAGTTACCCTGTTGTCAGGGCTCAAAACCACAGCAAATGTTCAGCTAGTGTCCTGAGGTTTGTCTAGCTGAGATTCAACAAGGGGTGCATCGGAAATTGCTTTCATCTGGATTTCTCCCTGGATTTCGGACTTATTCCCAAAATGGAACTGGTGCATTGGAAATCCCACCACTGTTCCATTTTTCTTAAAGTTCTGAATTTTATTCAGAATGCTATATACCGTATTTTTCACTGTATAAGACGCACTTTTTCCCTCCTAAAAAGTAAGGGGAAATGTGTGTGCATCTTATGGAGTGAATGCAGGCTGCGCGGCTATCCCAGAAGCCAGAACAGCAAGAGGGATCACTGCGCAGCGCTCCCTCTTACCGTTCTAGCTTCTGGCTTAGCCCCTCTGTCCCTTTCCCCACCTCCTGGAAAAGCCCACAAGAGCCACGCTCCCTTTCATGAGCCACGCGGAGCATGTGTGCGGCGCTTGGGGGCTTTTCCCCGAGGAGGGAGAAGGGCAGCCCATCAGTGACGGGCTGCCCTTCTCACTCCTTGGGGAAAAGCCCCCAAGCGCCGCACACACGCTCTGTGCGGCTCATGAAAGGGAGCGCTGAGCAGATCCTGGGATGCATACAGGCTCTGCTCAGCGCTCCCTTTAAATAATATTTTTTTTCTTGCATTCCCCCTCTAAAAACTAGGCGCGTCTTATGGTCAGGTGTGTCTTATGGAGCGAAAAATACTGTATGTGCACTTTGAACGAAAGGGCCATAGCTCAGTGGCAGAGCATCGATCTTGCATGCGAAAGGTCCCAGGTTCAATCCCCAAGTAGGGCTGGAAGAGACCCCTACCAGAAACCCTGAGGAGCTGCTGCCAGCCAGTGTAGACAATACTGAGGTATATGGGCCAATGGCCTGACTCAGTATAAGGTAGCTTCCTGTGTTGTAGCTTTCCAGTTCCTTCCGTAATTAATTCATGCCTTGCCTCTCTTCCATATTATGCTTACGTGCTCATTGATTAAACCACTGCCAAAAGAGCAAACTTTATTGATCATAGATATGATTACATCAACAGTCTTTTTGTTTTAGGTTTTACTAATGCATGTATGCACCAGCATGCACTGATTCAGAAACACCGCAAAAACATTGCAACGTTGGTGCAATTGTACATACAATTGCAGGTTCATATGACTGCATTTTTCCATGGTGTTTCTTACCCATGCCTGCGATTTCACATGTGCGCTGGAAAAACACCACACAAAAATAATCTTGATGTGATTATATTTACGGTCACCTCCCTCTTTTTTGCAGTGTGGTAGTACTGCACATATTTGCATGGTTAAAGAGAGAAAGAAAGCAGCGAATAAACAGGAGGAACTTACCGTATTTTTTGCTCTATAAGACTCACCTTTTCCCTCCTAAAAAGTAAGGGGAAATGTGTGTGCGTCTTATGGAGTGAATGCAGGCTGCGCAGCTATCCCAGACAGAACAGTAAGAGGGGTTGTTGCTTTCACCGCACAGCGATCCCTCTTGCTGTTATGGCTTCTGGGATTCAGAATATTTTTTTTCTTGAAAACTAGGTGCGTCTTATGGTTCTAGAAAACTAGGTGCGTCTTATGGTCTGGTGCGTCTTACAGAGCGAAAAATACGGTAAATACTGTGCCTGCTTCTATTCAGAAAACAATTCTAGAAATTCTCTTAGGCCGGATACACACCATACATATAAAATACATTTCCTCAAGAATCCTGGGAATTGTAGTTTACCCCTTGCAGAGCTGCAATTCCTGGTGAGCTACGTTTCTCAGGATTATTGGCCAGGGATATTTCAAGTGTGTTTTGAATGAACAATGGGTACACAGCCATAGTTAAACTGGGAATGTGGGGAGCTGCACACAGGACAGAGTGAACCTATGTAAAAATCCAAATAGAAGTCAGGAAAGATGTTCCTCATTAGATCCAGCTGCATTCAGCTTGAAGAATAAAAGTCATAACTTATATGTGCAAAAGGAGCCATGGAAACTAGGGCTAAGTGGGAATTTTGATATTTCATTATCTTGTACTTACATGGAGATGGAATATACAAAAGAAGATGACCGTACTCATAACTGTTACCAACCATAATACCAGTGCTATTTTTCTAGAAAAAGAGGTGCCAGAAATATTCATGAATGCCTCCCTTGTTTTCTTAGAATGGCAATGGCATCTACCTGAGAGTTCTGGGGAGTTCAGGTTTCAAAAAAGCCCTGCATACTACTAGTACAAAACAAAACAAAACAAAAAACAAAGCAAACTTATATAACACTTTTGACTTTCCAGAGTGTTGTAGCAATCATTACAGCAGCCCTAGATGACCCCCATATTGCAGGTGTGAATGCGGGGGACTGAGGATGAGAGATGAGTTCTTTATGTATGCAACAACAGCAGCAAGAATACTTATTGCAAAGTATTGGAAGACACAAGAGCTTTCCACACTGGAGGAATGGCAGATGAAACTGATGGACTATATGGAACTGGCGGAAATGACTGGTAGAATCCGTGACCAGGGAGAAGAGTCGGTGGAGGAAGATTGGAAGAAATTCAAAGACTATCTGCAGAAACATTGCAAAATTAAAGAATGTTAGAGTGATGTTGAATTAAAAATCAGTGGCTTCCAGCTGTTTAGGATTTAAAATTATGGATAGATTAAGATTAAGGATTAGGATTTAAAAAGTTTAAGGAAATGGAAATTTGGTTTTTAAAAGGTAAAATTTTAATGTTATATTATATTAAGAGTTAAGATTGGGATTTAAAAAGAGGGAAAGAAATTGCTGGACAAACAATTTGAACTGGAATACAAAAGAGGGAGGTACGAGGAGGTCCAGAAAATAAGTAAATTTAAAAATGGAGATGAAAAGGTGATATTGTTTTTAATTGTTCTATTTTCTTTTTTGTCTTTTGTTTTTTTGTTCCTTTATTTTTTTTCTTTTAGATTATGTACTGTGTATTTTTGAATTGTGTATTTCTTTTTATGTTTTATGTTTAATCTTTTATTGAAACTTTAATAAATATCATTTTATAAAAAAAAAAGAGGATGAGAGATGAGGACTTACCCAACACTATTTAGGAATTCATAGCTGGAGGAATTTTTGAAGCAGCAGCTCCCCCGCCTAACAGGTAGGGTCTCTACCTGTTCTTAGGCCCAGCTAGAGAAGACAACTACTCCATAAATCCTCACTTATTAACTGCTCTGATCTGCAGAATTCGAACTGTTGTTCTGCATTTGTAAGAAATCGGTCGTGTACCATGGCATCACCAAACCTTTATTGGTGTTGACCTTTTAAAGCCCTAAATGGCCTCGGCCCAGTATACCTGAAGGAGGATCTCCACCCCCATTGTTCTGCCTGGACACTGAGGTCATGCGCCAAGGGCCTTCTGGCAGTTCCCTCACTGCGAGAAGTGAGGTTACAGGGAACCAGGCAGAGGGCCTTCTTGGTAGTGGTGCCCACCCTGTGGAATGCCCTCCCACCAGATGTCAAAGAGAAAAACAAAAACCAGACTTTTAGAAGACATCTGAAGGCAGCCCTGTTTAGGGAAGTTTTTAATGTGTGACATTTTAATCTATTTTTAATCTTTGTTGGAAGCCGCCCAGAGTGGCTGGGGTACAAATAATAAATTACTATTACTATTTGCTGCCTATTGACATCCAGCACGCGCCTTTTTGGCTCTTTTTGGCTGCTGCATACCCTCTAACATTTCTTTGATGAAAATAGGGACGTCTCATTCCATAAAGATAATTTTACTATTTATACCCCATACATCTTATCGGGTTGCCCCAGCACTCTGGGCAGCTTCCAACAGATATAAAACATAATGAAACATTAAACAAACTTCCCTATACAGGTTTGCCTTCAGACAGCTTGCAGGGTTGGATAACTCCATACCCACCAACATTTCTCCAATGAAAATAGGGACATCCTAAGGGAAAGCGGGACATTCTGGGATCAAATCAGAAACTGGGACGGCTTCTCTAAATCAGGGATGTCCCTGGAAAATAGGGACACTTGGAGGGTCTGCTACTGCTAAAATGTTTAGGGAAGCATTTCCATACACATAGCATGTTGATATGGGTTTCAATCTGGTTTTTAGCTAATTGTTTATTTTATTTTTAAAAAGCGTTCTAAAGTGTTGCAATGATTCCATTCTTTTATGCTTTTTGTAAAGCACACTGCGGTTTGGGGCTTTTCTTTTGTTTTTGCACTCAAGCAGAGTATAAATTTTATGAAATAAATTAAATAAACTGCAGACCCAAATGTTTGAACGTGGTTCTGCCCCAATCATATAGGAAACCAGGGAGGGGAGTTATTAAAAGGGAGAATGGGTCAGGAGTATAGCACAAACATATACAAAGAGCAGAGTGCAGATCACCACTGCCCCTGCTGGCCACTTACCTCCCATAGCTCCTCTCTGCAGGTGAGGGAAGGAGGAAGCTCATTGGTAGAACATCTGTTCTGCATGCAAAGGCATGCATTCAACTATTCAAAGTGGTCTTTAAGCAGAGGCTTGACAACCATATGTCAGGAGTGCTCTGATGGTGTTTCCTGCTTGGCAGGGGGTTGGTCTCGATGGCCCTTGTGGTCTCTTCCAACTCTATGATTCTATGATTCTATGACCCATTGAAATTAATGGACCTGTTAGCGTTGCTTTCAGCAAATCTACTCTGAGTATTATTATTATTATTATTATTATATTTCATAAAATTTATACACTGCTTGATTGTGAAAAAAACCAACACACAACACACAAAATGATAAAACAATAACATTATCACTAATAAAAAAACCAAGAATTATTTAAGAATACAAAATATAATTTAAGAATATTGAAATTCGTTTTGTTAGTTTTGGCCCAGTTTTCCAATCTGTTAAGGCAGGCTTCCTCAAACTCGGCCCTCCAGATGTTTTAAGACTACAATTCCCATCATCCCTGACCACTGCTAGCTAGGGATCATGGGAGTTGTAGGCCAAAACATCTGGAGGGCCGAGTTTGAGGAAGCCTGTGTTAAGGTCATGTTGAATCTCGATTCTGTCTTCTGCGGTGTTAGCTACCCCTCCCAGCTGGGTGTCATCTGCAAATTTGATGAGCATCCCCTCCAGTCCTTCATCCAAGTCATTTATAAAGATGCTGAACAACAATGGGCCCAGGACAGAACCCAGTGGCACACCACTAACAGGACTATTGGTAGCACATGGGTGAATATGAGCTTTAGCACACACAGAGTGTCCTTCTTCATTGGACTTGCACATGAAGAACAGCAGCCTGGTAAGGAGCCAGAAGGTTGAGCCAGCTAGTTCCACTTGCAGACCGCAACAGTAAGAACGTCGCCACACCTGTAGCTTTTTCCAAGGAGAAGTCTAGGCTGCCATGGGCAGAAGGCAACTATGGGTGGACCAGCCCCAGTGGGGTGGCCCTGATGGACCAACTCCAAGGGATCCCTTTGAGGTGTGATAAGAATGAGGGCACGTGGGTGGTGCTGTGGTCTCAACCACTGAGCCTAGGGCTTGCCGATCGGAAGGTCGGTGGTTCGAATCTCTGCGACGGGGTGAGCTCCCGTTGCTCGGTTCCAGCTCCTGCCAACCTAGCAGTTCGAAAGCACGCCAGTGCAAGTAGATAAATAGGTACCGCTCCAGAGGGAAGGTAAACGGTGTTTCTGTGTGCTGCTCTGGTCCGCCAGAAGCGGCTTAGTCCTGCTGGCCACATGACCCGGAAAAACTGTGGACAAACATCGGCTCCCTCAGCCAGTAAAGCGAGATGAGTGCCGCAACCACAGAGTCATTCGCGACTGGACTTAACTGCCAGGGGTCCTTTACTTTTTAAGAGTGAGGGCATTCCCCTTGGGCCACTGGGTGCTGATGGGCTTGCTCCTAGGTGAGAGACTGCAACAGCCTGAGGGGGGCAGGTACAGGTGAGTCATCCTGGCTTCAAGGTGAGAGGCCGGTGAGCTTCGCTTGTGGCGAGAGCATGAAATCAGCTCACAAAATGTATACAGATTGTGTCAGGATTTTGCTGTTTCTATTTTTATTGACTTGCTGTATTTTTGTATTTGCATTTACTGCAGTTTTATGTATTAATCTGCTCACAAACTTGGTGGGCCCTTTGGGGCAAAAAGGCAGAATGTATAAATAAACCAACGAACACGTGAATGGTTATATTCCATTACATGCTGTCATTTGCTTTGTAAACTGCCTTGGTGTTTCTAAGAAATGAAAGGTGACGTACGTGTAATTTTAATAAATAAACGACGGGAACTGCAGTCCCATCGTTGCCTGCTCCACAGGTTCCCAACTCTGTGCTAGGCAAAGTCAGAACCCAAGGAGAAGGAAAACTCACTCACTTAATCTTAATCTTCCCAAGCGAAATCTAACGGGGCCACAGGCCCAGCCACCCCTAGGGGAGTGCAGAACCACTGGTTCATCTTGCTCAGTATTCTCCACAATGACCACCAGCAGCTCTCCAGGATTTCAGACTGGGACCTCTCTCTCTCTCTCTCTCTCTCTCTCTCTCCCCCCCCCCCGCTCAACTCACTTGTATTGTTATGTACTGAGGTTCTCACCCTGGGCCAGCAGGGGGATACTGTAGATAGTTTTCACTCAGGTCCACATATGCAAATAAGGAATTGAAAGTGACGTTCAGTGATTGGATAGTTACAGAAAGTTGTTACTGTTGCTTTGTAGTTGAGCTCTATATAAGCAGGCTGGCTGAACCCTTCAGTTCAGTTCTGTTCTGGCCTGTGAATAAACAAGAGCTGTCTGAAGCATTGCTGTGTCATCTGATACAACTTAACATGTATCTACCACTGCTTAAACTTGGGGACCTTTGCATAAAAAGCATATGCTTCCCCACTGAGTTCCGGCCCTTCCTAAGGGTCTTTAATGTGCATGTGAAAGCAATGAAATAGCATAAGGGGAGGCCTGCTGGGTCTGGCTAATGGCCCATCTAGCCCAGCGTTGTGTTCTCACAGAGGCTGACCAGATGCCTGTGGGAAACTCTCACACAGGACCTGGGCTCAAAAGCTCTCTCCCTGCCTGTGGTTTCCATCAACTGGGATTCACAAGCACTGTTGCCTTCAACTGAGGAGGCAGAGCACAGCCATCAATTGTCCATGAATTTATATAAGCAGGACTGCTTCATTTTGCTTTGGCACCGCACAGCAAGCGGAACTCGCCTCACACTTTTTGAGCATTTGCAATATGGGACCTCCAGCACGTGGCCGGGCATGCACAGGACTGAGTGGCCACAGGGTGGGAGTCAGCGCATGAAACATCTCCCTCCAGAGGCCACGTTCTGTGAGGGCTTCCATTGAGCAGGCCCCAAACCACCAGTTCTCCATCAAGATATGGCCTCCTATTATTTTATGTTCTGCCGGAAAAGAGAGCAAAGAGGGGCCACGTGTGTGTCAGTGCTACCGCAAACAAACCCATGTAGCCGAGCAAAGTTTAAATGTCCAACCATTTGTTTTCTTCCCCTTTGCATCCTGTTCCGCCCTGGCCGCACTTCTGTGATGGAGCAGGGGTGGTTTAAATCGCTGACTTGAAGCCATCAATTTTACAAACCCTTAAGCCATTAGGGCTCAGAATTCCACATTGTAACCACCCTAACCTCTCCTCCCCTCCCGCCCCAATTTGAGACAAAGACAAACACACACACACACACACCGCAATAAAGGAAATACTCCCATAGTCCTGGGATTCACAATGCTCTTGTTCAATGCACTCTCTCTCTCTCTCTAACTTAAAAGGAAGAAGAAAACAATTAAACGGAGCCTCAGAGTAATCTCATACTGCTTATTTAGCCTCTTCATCCCTCAATGTGTGGTTGGTAAGTGCTGCAATCAGGGGGCTACGGCCTGCTATCGTTCGGCCTTAATTAAAAAAGACACAGGCAGTGGAGCTGTGAATTAGAAGAAAGAAAGACAGGCGAGAGAGAGAGAGAGAGAGAGAGAGAGAGAGAGAGAAGGGGGGAGCGGAATGCAACAACACACTACCCCTGATTAATTCGAGGCTCATGTTGGATTAATAACGCCAAACAAAGAACAAAAGGAAATTGTTATGCGAATTGCAGCCCTCCCAGGCCAGACAAAGGTCAAATCACAGGATTTCAATTTCATCCGGACTCGCTTAATCAACTCCCTCGGAAGGAAGAGCATATGCGGTTCTCAAAGCTGCCCATTGTAGCTGCATTGTCGCTGGACCTGGGAGACGGAACAGTGATAATCCCAACTAGTCCCCATCTTCTGCCTTCCTCCCACAACTCCCAACAACCCCTGCACCTCTCTTTTATCTTCGTTCCCCCTCCCCTTCTTAAGGACACCCTCCCCTGCTAATTATGGGCTAATGGCGAAGGGATAAGACTGCCGCACAAGAGAAATCTGTCTTTGTGGTCGCTGGTCCATGGAATCGCAATGCTTTCCCCCTCCTGATGCAGCTGCATGGACTCTGCCCCTTATTTTGCTGGGGAGCTTCTCTGTCCCTCTCTCTCTCTCTCTCTCTCTCTCTCTCTCTCTCTCTCAACAGAGGCCAAGTGCTGTCAGGATGATTGTATTGTATGGCTGCCCAGGGGCATTGCACTGCAGGTAAACAAAGTGTGGAGGACAGGTTCAGCGGAGGCCCAGCATTGCCTGACTTCTAATGCTAGGCCCTGGATGTTCCAGCCTGATGTTAGTAGAAGTTTTAACAGGACCCAAATGCCACAGGGAGTTTCTTCTTTAGCTGATAGGCAGCAGGAAGGTGGGGGGCGGCAACAACTCTTTCCTCCACAATCAACTGCTGTAGCAAAATCACACATGCACACCCAAGCGACAGTGACCAGGAAGATCAAAGTTGCAGCAGTATCTATTTCAGCCAGGTTACACGTGAAAATTGTAGGGTTGCGTCCAATGTTAGCCATACTCAAAGCAGACCCACGGAAATTAGGCTAACAGAGAGTCCGTTAATTTCAGCGCATCTTTTGACAACGTCTCCCATGATATTCTTGAGGAGAAGTTGGCAGAATGTGGTCTGGGCGAGGTAAATGTTGGATGGGGATTTGTAGCTGGTTGACTGACCAAACCCAAAGAGTGCTCACTAATGGTTCCTCATCATCCTGGAAAAAAGCGACAAGTAGGGTTTTGCAGGGTTCTGTCCTGGGCCCATTGTTGTTCAATGTCTTTATGACTTAGATGAAGGAGTTGAGGGGATGTTCATTAAATCAGCAGATGATACCAAGCTGGGAGGGATGGCTTCTTAATTCCAAGACTTCCTGGGCTGACTTGAAGTCTCCAGGTTTGCCTTGCCCCCACTAGGTGAGCAAGAGTTTCTTTCTTTCTTTCTTTCTTTCTTTCTTTCTTTCTTTCTTTCTTATTTATTTATTTAAATAGAACTATATATACAGCTTTAGAAAATTCAGCCTGCGAGCAGCCAGCTGAAAATTATTGCATAGACTTTCAGGGGCAGGGGAGTCTGCCCTCCTTCACGCCCCTGCTTCCCTCTCCCAATTAACCTCTGTCACCAGGGCTCTATGGTGGGAGTGAATGCAAAGGAAGAATTATTCCTGTTCTCCACCAGGAGCTGGCCAAGTCTCAGGTTTGGGCTCTGAAATCTCAAGGTCTGGGATGCTCCTGAACTGGGAAACCTATTATTAATGGGTATGCGTATGTGTGCATGCCCCCCCCAACTTTTTTAGATGCCTGTAATGAACGCGGGTGGTGTTGTGGGTTAAACCACAGAGCCTAGGACTTGCCAATCAGAAGGTTGGCGGTTCAAATCCCCGCGACGGGGTGAGCTCCCGTTCCTCGGTCCCTGCTCCTGCCAACCTAGCAGTTCGAAAGCACGTCAGAGTGTAAGTAGATAAATAGGTACCACTCTGGCGGGAAGGTAAACGTTGTTTCCGTGCGCTGCTCTGGTTCGCCAGTCATGCTGGCCACATGACCTGGAAGCTGTACGCCAGCTCCCTCGGCCAATAAAGCGAGATGAGCGCCGCAACCCCAGAGTCAGCCACGACTGGACCTAATGGTCAGGGGTCCCTTTACCTTTACCTTACTGGACTTAGAGACTTAAAGGAGCAAGATCCTTATCTTGAGTAAGATTGGCACTGTATAATCTTGGTATATTGTATTTTTATAATTCAAATAATTTATCTTTTTATCTCCTGTGCAGCATTTAAATATATAGCATCTTGGACATGTTTTACAGTTACTCCAGTTATGAAGTTTTTATACTGAAGCCCATGGGTGAGTGATAACTTGGTGTATTTGGTTAAAAATGGATCCATCCTCCCGTAGGAAGTGCTATCCACTATTATGTGTTAGATTGCTAATGTTCAACCACTGAAGAAGACGTAAAGTTGAAACATGTCTGGACAATTAATCTAAGGAACACTCACTTTTCATGGGCAAATATATATATATATATATATATATATATATATATATTGTCCAGTAGCACCTTAGAGACCAACTAAGTTTGTTCTTGGTACAGTGGTACCTCGGGTTATATTCACTTCAGGTTACACACTCTGCTAACCCAGAAATAGTGCTTCAGGTTAAGAACTTTGCTTCAGGATAAGAACAGAAATTGGGCTCTGGCGGTGCAGCGGCAGCAGGAGGCCCCATTAGCTAAAGTGGTGCTTCAGGTTAAGAAAAATTTCAGGTTAAGAACAGACCTCCAGAACGAATTAAGTACTTAACCCGAGGTACCACTGTATAAGCTTTTGTGTGCATGCACACTTCTTCAGATACCAACTACAGATATTCGTATCTGAATAAGTGTGCATGCACACGAAAGCTTATACAGTGGTGCCTCGCAAGACGAAATGAATTCGTTCCACGAGTTTTGTCGTCTTGCGATTTTTTTCGTCTTGCGAAGCACGGTGTCGGAAAAGTTTTGGAAAAGCTTCAAAAATCACCAAAGTCTTCAAAAACCTCAAAAAAGGCTACCACACTGCGTGCTATGAGTTGCTCCTCGAAGTCAAGTCGCAACTGTATTAACGGTGTTAAGAAAAAGGAAACAAACTTGCAAGACGTTTCCGTCTTGCGAAGCAAGCCCATAGGGAAAATCGTCTTGCAAAGCAGCTCAAAAAACAAAAAACCCTTTCGTTTTGCGAGTTTTCCGTCTTGCGAGGCATTCGTCTTGCGAGGTACCACTGTACCAAGAACAAACTTAGTTGGTCTCTAAGGTGCTACTGGACTATATATATAGAGAGAGAGAGAGAGAGAGAGAGAGACTGTGTCAGACCAACACAGCTACCTACCTGAATCTTTTCATGGGCATTTTGCCTCTAAGCAGATTACAGGAGTGCATTCTTAATATTTGCCACATTTATCTGAATTTTGTGATGTAACCCTCCAACCCAAAAAGTACAAAAATGCACTACATATGGAGAAACTGTTTGCTAAATAAATAAATAATGTGTATATTGGGCAAAAAAAAAAAATGAACGCAAAAAATGTGTATATTAAGAGAAATGCACAAGACTATGCCTGCAAATTTTCCTGCAGATTTATTTATTTAATTTAATACACACAAACTGGTGTGGAAAAGAGGAGAAGACTGAGCTTACAGCTGGAAAAAACAATTAGAAGAAAACAAAACTGATAGATTTGTCCATTCCTAAATGAGAACAGGGATTGCCTAGAACCCACTTGAGAAATTATGTTAACCTTATTGAAATCCTCTAGACTTCCCTGAACATTCCATAGCACTTTAGCCTGAGAAAGAACCCTCAAATCTGCTATTAATGTCACGTTAAATAATATTTCATTAGCAACTCTAATCAGAATATAGCAGCTGCGGCAGAGGAAGATGGAACGGTGGGGAGGTGTTGAGCTTACTTAAAGATCACATTCCCCTGTTCGGCTTCTGTGCAACTTCCTGCTGGGGACCTCTCCCCTGGATAGGTCATCCCAACATGTAGTTGGCATCTGTTGCGAACATCCATCTCTCTCACACACATTCTCTCTGTGGAAATATGTTGTTTTAGATCAGACTCCAAACAATTGGACTCATAGGGTCAACTCAGAAGTTAAAAGTTCCAGTCTGGAAAATGATTCTGGTGTGTTTATGCCCAGGGGTGTGTGTGTGTGTGTGTGTGTGTGTGTGTTTAATGTAGGGATTAAAAAAAATAAGGTAAAGGACCCCTGGACGGTTAGGTCCAGTCAAAGGGAACTATGGTGTTGCGGCGTTCATCTCGCTTTCAGGCTGAGGGAGCCGGCGTTTTTCCACAGACAACTTTCCGGGTCATGTGGCCAGCATGATTAAACCGCTTCTGGCACAATGGGACACTGTGACAGAAGCCAGAGGACATGGAAACGTTGTTTACCTTCTCACCACAGCGGTACCTATTTATCTACTTGTACTGGCGTGCTTTCAAACTGCTAGGTTGGCAGGAGCTGGGACAGAACAACGGGAGCTCACTCCATTGCAGGGATTCGAACCGCCGACCTTCCAATTGGCAAGCCCAAGAGGCTCAGTGGTTTAGACCACAGCGCCACCCATGTCCCCTCAATGTAGGGATATGTTGTATTAGAGGCATAAAAAGGCAGCAGTTTCCATTACATTATGTTTTTGCAGTCACCAGCGCTGCTTCTGTTCCACTGACATTCAGTTTCTGCCGGTTACGCTGTTATTCATCTTGCTGCCCACTATTTAACGTTAAGTGGGTTAAACCACAGAGCCTAGGACTTGCTGATCAGAAGGTCAGGGGTTCGAATCCCCGCAACAGGTGAGCTCCCGTTTCTCAGTCCCTGCTGATGCCACCCTAGCAGTTTGAAAGCACATCAAAGTGCAAGTAGATAAATAGGTACCACTCCAGCGGGAAGGTAAACAGCGTTTTCGTGCGCTGCTCTGGTTCACCAGAAGCGGCTTAGTCATGCTGGCCACATGACCCGGAAGCTGTACACCGGCTCCCTCAGCCAAAAAAGCGAGATGAGCGCCGCAACCCCAGAGTCGGCCACGACT